TTCCCGTAGACCCCCCCTGCATAAAAATTCCCATATAAAAATTCTGGAGTCTGAATGGTTCCTTCCATAAATGTTTTGGGGAATCTGTTAAAATTTAGGTTCCCAGGACTCTTATTCAGAGTGAGGGAGTGGGTGTGGGGGAAGCCTGTGAAGCTGCATTTTGACATGCTCCCCTAATGGTTCTGTGGTTTGCAGACCATACTTTGAGAAGCTGCTCCAAAGCCACCATATTAAATGAGGACTTCTAGGGTCCACTGTGTCTTACTCAGAGAAACTCTTCTCTTTCTAAAATTTAAGAATTAGAGGCAGGTTGTCAGGGAACATGTTTTAAGGTGTTTCAGCAGCAGCTCCTACTCTAAAGTGGAATAACTTCCTGTAATTAGCAGACAGGTTGGGTCTTCTGAGAAAGGGTGGGAGGAACTAAGGAGCTTGTGTAAAGGTGTCAGTGGAACCTGAGAGGAAGAGCCTAACTTCTGAGCAGTGAAGGCTTTGTTTGGGAAGAGCAGAAAATGAAGTACAGGGAAGGGAAGAGTTCGTGGAAATTTCTCCTTGGCTTTGATCATGAGGAAAGCTGGCAGCTGGGTCCCACGAAACAATACACTAACAACTGTTGTTTCCTTGGACTTTCACCTACATTAATGAAATGTCTGGGCCAATTTTTCTACTTGTTCTTTCTCTCTTTAAGGGCTTTATTGAGATATAGTTCTCATATCTTTATTCACCCACTTAAAGTGTACAATTTAGTGGTTTTTAATATATTCACAGAATTGTGCCATCATCACCACAATTTTGGAATATTTTATCACCTCAAAAAGTAACCCTATACCCTTTAGCAGTCACCCTTCCCCAATTAATCTCCCCATCCCTCCAACCATAAACAACCATTAATCTACTCTCTGTGTCTATTGATTTGTCTATTCTGGAGGTTTCATATAAATGGAATCATATAATAGGTGGCCTTCTGTGACTGGCTTCTTTTACTTAGTGTAATGTTTTCTTTTTAAATTAAATTTATGTGGTGACATTGGTTAATAATAATGTATGTTTCAAGTGTATAATCTCAGAATGCATCATCTGTACACTGCACTGTGTGTTTACCACCCGAGTCCAGTCTCCTTCCCTCGCCACATGCTTGACCCCTTTCCCCTCCTGCCTCCCCTCAGCCTCCTCCCTCTCTGCAGCCACCATGCTGTTGTCAGTGCCTGTGCGTTTGTTTTGGTTTGTTGGTTGGTGCTCTCTGTTTTATAGCCCACATATGAGTGAAACAGTATGGTTCTTGTCCTGTTTTGACTTATTTCATTTAGCATTAGCATAATGTTTCCAAAGGTCATTCATGTTGTAGTATGTGTCAGTACTTCATTCCTTTTTATTACCAAAAGTATTCCATTGCATGGACTACCAAATTTTGTTTACCCATTGATCCATACTTGGGTTGCTTCTACCTTTTGGCTCTTATGAGTAATGCCATTTGTGTACAAGTTTTTGTGTGGACATGTGTTTTCATTTCTCTTGGGTGTACATCTAGGTGTGAAATTCCTGGGTCAAATGAGAACTCTATGTTTAACTTTTTGAGGAACTGCCAGACTGTCTTCTAAAGTCCTCACTTTATTTTTTTAAGTCAATCTGAAATCAACAGCTCTGAATAATTCTGTAAGTGTTCAGTTTCAGACAGCTCAGCTTGGTCAGGTATAACTAAGGATTTACTATAAGCAAGTGTTTGGGGGGATGCGAAGAATCATACTTGGATTACAAACTCTAAAACTCCAAAGCCCAAATACTCAAGAGTGTTGTTTGACATAACCTTAAAGGTTGGGACAGTGTTACATGGATTTGTGTTTCAGATAGGCAGAAGAGGAAACTCACAGCTATAAATGTGGCCAATAACAAAACAAGAATACGACAATGCAACAACTCTTAATTAGCAGCTTTGGAAAAGGTTTAGTGGTCTGAAAAAAATAAGTAAAGCTATTGGATAAAACTATCTATGGATTTTAATTACCTCTGCTACCATCTGCTTCTATATAGGGTAACAGACTTAAAAATTTTAAGGGTACAGTACTTAGGAATACTTTAAAGTGTTTATAAGATACAGAGGAGTGCGCAATGTGTAACTCTGAATTTTTAAAAAGTGAACCCCACCCATGTAACTAGTACCTACAGCAAGAAACAGATGGTTATCAGCTCTGGAACTCTTCCCTTTCCAGTCATTAACCACCCTAAGGGAAGGAGGCTATGTGACTTCTAGCACCAACATTCCTAGACACAAAGAATACATTTCAGGGGTCAAGGACTGACCAGTGGAATAGATTCATTGAGCTGATGGAATTTCTTAAGACTCAGTAAGATTTTTTATATTGCACAGTGTAGTAGAATCTTAAAAATTAAATACCTTGGAGCTTGTGTTTAAAATAAAAGGTATACATTCAGCATACAAGAAGCTTTTAATTTAACCATCACCTGCAATTTAAGAACATGTACTTGTAAGATATTTTTAAAGTACATGAAACTACATACTTTAAAACATTTATTTTAAAAGATCCCTCTTTCTCTAGGATTTGAAGTTTATTTCTAAGAAGAGTTTGTAAAAGAAGTCCTAGGGGTTCTTAATCACAGGTGCTTTAATAATTCAAAAAGTGTATATGTAAACACACTTGCACACTAGCAGTGCATCACATTGTGGGATGAAGTAATTAATGACCAAACAGAGCATAAGAACAGGTACACATTTCCCTTCGTTTGTGGGGCAGGAGGATATTAAATACCCTCACCTTACTGATAAAATGAGCTGTTTAATGCCAAGACTGACTTATTACGAAGTGACAGTGCCCTGGTCTTAACCTGGAAAAAATCTGTTCTAACAGATTTATGTTTTACATATAAGATCATTTTCAGCACATAAGAATCCTTCCAAGGGAAGAGTATATTATTAAGGAAAATAATTTTGCAAAGTCGAATCATTAAAAAAAAAGCTCTAAATATGTCTTACAAATTACGAAAAATTAGGATTGTTTTTTGTAAGATTGGGATTCTATGTTCTACCAGGTGATACCTACCTAATACAGCTCTTGAGTCACGTGAGGTGGGCACAGAGTGTCCACCTGGATTCTGGATACTTCCAGGGTAAACCTCATGCTCACACTGGCTCCTCCTCTGGTGCTGGGAAAGCACCGGCCCGCACCCCGTACCCCTCCTTCCAGGCAGCAGGGCCCCAGCACACTGCCAGCACCCGGGAGCACGCGAGCGGCGACTCCGGGCTGCTTGGCCCTTCCCCAAGCTCTGCGGCTTAGACTTTTCCCACCGAGTCACCCATAGCCCTCCCTCCGGCCACTCCCCCGCCCTGGTGGGGAAGTTTAAAGCCGGACGCCCTTCGCATGGAAGGTTGCCAAGGCCCTTCTCTCGGCTGAGCGGGCGAAGGGCGGGTGAGGGTCCGCGGCACTCCCTGCACTGCTGTCCAGCCCCAGCTCCGCGGGAGGCGGGCAGACACTGGGGGGGTCCCCGCCGGCTCCAGTGCACGCTGGCCGCTGGCCGTGGGGTCGCCCCAAGCCCGAGGGACCTATTGGAAAACAATGGAGCTGGGCACCTCTTCTGGGCCCCCGAGAGCGGGCAGAGGTTCGGCTGTGACCCAAAGGTTGCAGCAGCCCCGCGCCCCCAGCGCAGGGCGCGCTTGGGTGTGTGGGGGTGAGAGGGAGAGGGCGCCAGGGGCCAGCCCGAGGGGGACCGACTTGGTGGCAGGTGGGTGCGGCTGGCGGCTGCCAGGGCGGCGGCAGGGACAGCAGCAGCGGCGGAGGTGGCAGCAGCGGCAGCGGCATCGGCAGAGGCCGCAGCAAGTGGTTGGGCTGCGCGCATTTCCTTCCCTCCCCCTCGGCCTCAGAGCCCGCCCGCGGTGCCCAGTGC